TGTGTTTAAAAACGTCTTGAAACGTTTTATCACAAAACACTGTATTTAATTTTATAATAGTTAATGTCAACATTTGGTACAGCGTGTTGATCCAAGAACAAATGCGATTCTCGCTTTGGAGTCAAAAAAAGGAATTGGTGTTCCCTTTTGCAGCACAAATGTTTTTTTTACATTCTTTGAATCAACAACAGGTATTGGGATGTGTGAAAGGCTGAATCTCGGAGACTTAAATAATCTTTTCAACCTACATTATTTGTTACTATGCACTATGTAATAGTGAAGCAACCATTGCCAACTGAGGCTGCCGCGATTTGCGGAAAATAGGTGGTGGTGTACATGGTACGGGGACACACACAACTATATGTTATATATTTTATTTTAATGAGCAGGTACAGAAGCAGACATAAGCATAGGAGAAATATATTAAATACATAATCTTCATTGTATGAAAGGACATGGACAGGATTTGCGATCCGTTAACAAACTAAACTATGTCTCTAAACTAGGTTACTCATCAAGTAAGGAGATAATAGGTCTGTGTGAAGAATTGGCTTGAAGTCTTTTGCTGCCCACTGCCGATAATAATTAGATCTATCAAAACTACATAGAGTAAGAAATTCAGAGTACAGGAATAAGAGAAGTTAGATAAACACTGTGGTGGTGCCATTTTCGACAAACAGGTAAATAGGCTCAACCCACTCACAGTCTCCAAAACAGAGATATCTGCATGACACAAAGATTGATGTTTCTCCAGGTAGAGCATAGTAAAGGCATAAAGGTACATGACAAACATTTAGATCATGAAGTTAGATATCAGAGGTCTGTGGGTATGTGATCTTGATGCCTGTGTAGAGTACAATTGACATTGATGTCTTTCAATGAGAGGTTGCACCAGGTACTTGATGTTTTCTTGGGGTATGGTGTTGTGCCACATGAAGTATAGATTCACATGGGGGATAGGTCAGAGTTTGTCTATTCTGAAGTGTGGCAGAAGAAAAAGCAGTTGCCAGAGTTACCATAGTGCATTTGGAGGACATGCTCTTGAGAAAGTCAGTAAATATCCAATGTAAGGCTTCTGTGGAGCTCAGGAATAAACTGTTTATTCACACATCTGCCGCCATTCTAACATCACCTTATCAGATATCCCAATGTATTTTCTTGCCATGAGCGTGCATATATTTGAAAAGTTAACACCCCGCACTATTGTATAGGGAGTGTTTTGATGCCTTAGATGCAATCATTTTAGTCAAAAGTTGAAGAAAGTGTGTGGAGGTAACTGTTCAATCTTCATTTTTACACACACATTGCTTTTTTACTGTGATTTAGGAGAGCCCGTTGTTGGTTATTGCAAGAAAACACCCCAGGTTGTTTTCTGCAAGGCCTCCTTAGGACACCCATGCCCCCCATGCATAGGTTTGCCAGGATTTTGGGAAGGTACGGTTACAATTGTATGACTTGCAATTTGAGTTGAAATTGAGATTATTTCTTCTGATAGGCCTATCTTTAGCCTGGGGCTTATCACATACCCCAGTTTTATTTATTGCCATGAAAGGGTACATACTTGAAACGTAGACACCCCGAGGTATTGCATGTGGAGTGCTTTGATGCAACTTTTTTTAGCCAGACAAAAAATAAAAAAGTTGAAGAAAGTGTGTGGAGGTAACTGTTCAATCCTCATTTTTTAAACACATATTGCTTTTTGACTGTGATTTAGGAGAGCCCGTTGTTGGTTATTTTAAGAAAACACCACAGGTTATTTTCTGCAAGGCCTCCTTAAGACACCCATGCCCCCCATGCATTGGGTAAATGTAACAAAACCAAAAAGAAAAAAGACACCCAAAAAACTGAACGGCAAATGTTAAAAAATAAATAAAAAATGGGATAGCGTGTGGTATCGTTTGAAGCAGTCTCCAATGCAGAGCCAAGGCTGTCCAGGGCAATCAGGACAGTTATATACACTATATTTTCTCTGCCCCCTCTTGAACAGACCCTGCATCTTTTTTGGGGATTCTGCTTTGCCGCAGAAGGGGGAATTTTAAAAATAAAATGTGTAGCCCCAACTCTTCTCTCTCCCATCACCACCCGGGGAGCAGGTGCATCACGGTACAAAATCCCCGAAATGATCTGGAGCTGAAACTGTAAAAATCAGTTGCGTCCCGAGGTTTGATTTTTTGAACAACAAAAAAGCGTTGTGGGTTGCAATCTGCATTAGGTAGATTGCAACCTTTTTGTACCAGGCCCTTGTCTTTCATATAATTAGGTGGGGCTGCAGCAGCTGATATGCCAGATCAGCCCCACCCATATGCCGGTTATAGGCCTTGATGCACACTGGCTCCTTGTTCTCTCAGCTCTGCCACGTACAGGGACCTCCACAGTCCCCTCAGTGTGGATGGTGGTAAGAAGGTACACATCCTTCTTGTCTCTGTACTTAACTGCCAACAGCTCCTCTTGGTGCAGAGCTGAGGTCTCCCCTCTTCGTAGATGGATCCGTGCAAGTTGTCCTGGGAAACCTGTGCTGTTCTTTTTGATTGTGCCGCAAGCTACTGTATCCAAACAGTACAGTAGCTTGAACAAAGGGACACTTGTATAAAAATTGTCCGTATACAAGTGGTACCCTTTGTTCATCAGGGGGAATATCAGGTCCCAGACAATCTTGCCACTGGTTCCCATATGTTCTGGGCAACCTGGAGGGTCAAGGTGGCTATCCTTTCCCTCGTACACCCGGAAGGCCTAAGTATACCCAGTCTCACTATCACAGAGCTTACATCTTTACACCATACCTAGAGCGCTTGGAAGGAACATACTGCTTGAATCCCAGCCTTCCCTTATACTTCATCAGGGATTCATCCACGCATATATTCCTTCCAGGTGTATAAGCCTCTGCAAACCTGGCAGCGAAGTGGGTAATCAGGGGGCAGATTTTATACAGCCTGTCAAACTGGGGATGCTCCCTAGGGGGACACAGGCTGTTGCCGCTGAAGTGCATGAAATGCAGAATCATTTCATACCTCTTCCTCGACATACATTGGGAGTAAATAGGGGTAGAGCAGATGGGGCTACTTCTCCAGTAGGAGCGGATGGAGGGCTTCTTTATGATGCCCATCAGCATAGTCAATGCCCAGAATCTTTTAAATTCTGGCACATCAATGGGGGCCCATTGCTGCTTTGCCAAAAAGAGTCAGGATTTGTAGCTCGGAATTGATGGGCATATAAATTAGTTTGGGCGACAATGTTCCCCAATACATCATCGCCCAGAAACACCTCCATAAACTGCTGAGGGCTAAATCTTGTGACATCCAAATTAATGCCAGGATTTGCAGTAAAGAATGGGATGTCTGGCCTCTGGCAATGAGGCACTACTACCCACTCCTCAGCAGTATTGCCAGCTGGAGCAGCACGTCTCCTTCTGGCAGGGGGACTAGCACGCACAGATACAACATCACTAGCAGCAGACACTGTATCTACTGATGATGTATCTGAGCACCTGGCAGGGTCAAAATCAGGGTCGGAGTCTGACATAGACGCGTCAGATTATAGCGCAAGGGTGGCATATGACTGCTCAGCGCTGGTTGACGTCCGTGACCCATGTGACATGATCACAATCACTTTACTTAGTGACCTGCCACAAAAAAAAAAATCAGACAAAAAATTAACCCCTAAAAAAATGACCAGAAAGCAAAATAAGTGCTGCTGTGCAAGAGCCTGTGATCTGTATAGTGATCACTGTCAGGACAGGGGTTAATCGTTCTGAAAAGAGCTTTTGGGTCTCACAAAAAAAAAAGATCACAAAAAATGAACCCCTAAAAAAAATGCACAAACAGCAAAAAAGTAATTTTTTGTTGTTTTTTTTTTTCTTCATTGATGGCTTCCGATGCTCTGCCTCACTGCTGGGCACCACAGGGAGCAACAGCAGTGAGGGGGGGTATTGCAGGATGCCTTGAGGCATCGCTGCAATACTGTTAGAGCGGCTGGAAGCAATCATGATTGCTTCCCGTGCTCCGATTCGCCGCATATCAGGTACGTCCGCATTCCTTATCCCAGCGATGATATTGTCAGTGAAAGTGAAGTTTTTTGCATTTTTCACACACAAACAGCACTTTCACTGATGATATTGTTGTAATATGTTTTACTATTTTGAAACACTAATATTTGTGTTCAGCAAAGTCTCCCGAGTATAACAGTACCCCCCATGTATAGGTTTTATAGTGTTTTTGAAAGTTACAGGGTCAAATATAAGGCTGTTTTTTTACATTGAAATTTGCCAGATTGGTTATGTTTAGAGTTGAGCAGACACCTGGATGTTTGGGTCCGGCGGGTTCAGCCGAACTTTGAAAAAAAAGTCCGGGTTCGGGCTCGAACTTGACCCCGAACCCCATTGAAGTCAATGGGGACCCGAACTATTGGCCAGAAAAATGCCTCTAAAAAACTCCTGGAAAGGGCTAGAGAGCTGCAAAAGGAAGTAAAATGGGGGTAAGAGTAGGACAAGTGCCCTGAAAACAAATGTGGATAGGGAAATCACTTAAAATAACATAAAAATTAAAAATACAGCTGAGCCATAAAATAGCACTAGATGGAATCTTTGATTTTAGCTTTGGAAGAACATAAATCAAAATCTAAAGCATGGCTGTCAGGAGGATCACCAGAATTATCCATTTGAGAGAGGGTTGGAGTGCAGGGTATTCTCTTTCATTGTTCAAACTGAGCTCAACTCCTGATGCATGGAGAAAAGGCCTTCACAAGCCTCGTTGCGGTGTAGGTGGAAACAGCGGTGGAGGAGGAGGATGAGGTAGCCAACACTGTTTTTATGTTTGTTTGTTTTGTTTTTTTATTGTGGTAGCCCACAAAATATTGGGACATACAAAAAAAGAAACATTTGCGCCCTGCGGTGCATTTCTTGCAGCCCTGATGCATGGAGAAATGCTCAACTCCTGATGCATGGAGAAAAGGCCTTCACAAGCCTCTGCTAATGTGTACATAGTTTATACTAAGTGACCCATAGGTTGAGGAGGCGGTGACCATGGCGGTATAGGTGGAAGCAGCGGTGGAGTAGGAGGATGAGGTAGCCAACACTGTTTTATATAAATATATATATATATTTTATTTTTTTAATTTGGGTAACCCCCAAACTATTGGGACATATAAAAAAAGACAACTCTGTTCTGCAGAGTAGCTGTTGACATTATAGTTGTGCAGGCACTTTGTTGACTCTAGAGAACCTCGAGCCAATCGCACATCCCCGTGACGGCGACTTTGCATTCAGATGTCATCCATATCAACTTTCGATGCCAGTTTCTGGGCCCTGGTGACTACGGGTAACAGGGAATCAGGGTTCCATTCCGTACAGGCACCCTGAGAAATGGCTACCACATGCAATGAAGGCAGCAGGTGCGCAAATTACCCATTCCCGACGCGGGAAGGTAGTGACGACAAATAACAATACAGGACTCTTTAGAGGCCCTGTAATTGTAATGAGTCCACTTGAAATCCTTTAACTCTGATCAATTGGAGGAAAGTCTGGTGCAGGGCCACTGACCCGTGCGTGCTGCAGCTGAAACTCCACTATCGCCTGCTGTTGCTCGCACAGTCTCATGAGGCAGTGAGCGAGAAGGCCGAAGTTACGCTGCAGACCAGGGTGAGAACGCCAAAAGTGCTCACAGCCACTACAGTGAATGTCACATCCTGTTCCAAGTTGCGGATCAGTCTGGTGATGGCTTCTGGTATCCAGTACTCTTTTTACTGAAGCTGCATCAGGGTCGTGGTATGTGGCCGCACAAACGCTGGTGCTCAACACCAGGGGGCGTGCGGTTGCCCTGCACCAGATCCTGCTAATCTATTCCACGATGTGACTCCTAACTTCAACATCAGGCATACTGGATCCCGGTCGTCCGACCGCCGCCAAGACAGTGTCTGGGTCCTGGTCACCGGACTGCCCACCTGACTGTGAAACTATGAATGAATCGTTAAATCTGGTATGAACCCGAACTTTGCAGTTCGGGTTTGCTCAACTCTATTATGGATCCTTTGATGGCTACATGTATTACTTGGATAACTGGTCATTCTCAAGCTAATACATGCCGACGAGCGCTAGGGGACGGCCGCTCCGCTTTTGCACCCTGCTCCCTCTTATGCTGTGCTGGTGCCTCTGTGCGACTCTTCCTCCAAACTGCACACGTCACTCGCATGACCTTAATTCCATGTGGGGTCTAGGACCTCATCATCCTCCACATCATCTTCCACCCACTCCTCAACCCTGCCCTCCTTGCCGGTGTGCACACTGCAGAAAGCCACAGCAGTTGGCACCTGTGTTTTTCCAGCATGTAAAGTCTGCAAAGGACATATGGAAATTGTTTTAGAATTGTATCCAGGCAACAGTTTTCCCTATAAACTGACCTCTCTGTTTGACTTGTGAGGGTATTGCCCCAGAATTACAATATTGTTTAAGTACCTTTAAGCTATTGATAACTGGTTTAAATATAGCAGCTTGTTATCTGGTAGTTTCTAGTGTAGAAAATATCACTCTGTTTTCTATCACTTAGATCTGTGTAACAAGTGTTGTAGGTGTGAAACAATATTACAAGTGACCAATGCAGTAAATTCTAATCAAAGTTACACCCCAAATATACTATTTAGCACCCAAAAATAATTTATTTTTTTAAATTGACTTTTTAAAACTCCAATGTAAGCAGCAAATTAGCAGCAAAACAATTAGAATGTTTGCAACTGCGCAGTAAGCGCACTATTTAACACTTCTATATGACTCTCGGATATGAAGTGCAATTAGCAGCAAAACAATTAGAATGTTTACAATTGCGTTGTAACCGCAGTATTTGACGCTTCTATTTGACTCTCAGATATGAAGAGCACGCTCAAAATTTACTATTTAGCAGTTTAGCAGCAAAACAATTAGAATGTTTACAATTGCGCTGTAACCGCAGTATTTGACGCTTCTATTTGACTCTCAGATATGAAGTGCAGGCCGCAAAATGTACTATTTAGCAGATTAGCACCCAAAAAATTTGTACTTTTTAAAACTCCGATGTAACCGCGGTATTTGAAGCTTCTATTTGACTCTGAGATATGAAGTGCACCCCACTAATGTACTAGTTTGCAGAATTCTTTCCTAAGCTGTCCCTCACAGCCGCAGCATCCTTTCCCTACACTAGTAAGACCTCATGTGCGTGCGGCGCTACGCGACTCCAGCTTATATATAGAGGCTGGGTCACATGCTGCACTGGCCAATCACAGCCATGCCATAAGTAGGCATGGCTGTGATGGCTTCTAAGGGCACACGAATCAAACACTTGTTGATTGGTGCCCTGCAGCCTTTGAAAACGCGCCATTAAATCGCCGAACACCGAACTCCAACCCAAACTCCAACCCAAACATACAGTGATATGTCCATGTTCAGGTCCAGGATCGCTTAACTCCCATGATGGCATACCATTAGCAAAAATAGACAACCCAAGGTATTGCAAATGGAGTATGTTTAGTCTTTTTTAGTAGCCACTTAGTCACAAACACTGGCCAAAGTTAGCATTCATAATATTTTTTTTGCATTTTTAACACACAAACAAATATAAATGCTAACCAGTGTTTGTGACTAAGTGGTTACTAAAAAAAAGACTGGACATACCCCATGTTGTCTACTTTACATTGGCCGGGTTCAAAAATGTCCCAAATAGGACATAGGTGCACGATGACCAGCTGTGAAAATTCCAAGTTGGAAAACTGGAATGCGCACCCTCCAAATAAGGTCTTTTAGCCCCCAGAGAACCTGACACACCTATACATGGGTAGTATCACATTACGCAGGAGATGTTTCTGAACACATATTGGGGTATTCTGTGGCAGTAAGTTCTCAGTACATGTATTCTTAAATTGTTATGTGTGTCAATAAAAACACCAATTATTATTATTATTTTTTTTATTTGGCATAGATGGGTGGTAAAATGGTTGCATGAAAAGAGTCATAATACCCCAAGTTTAATACCTTGGGTTGTCTTCTTTTAAAAAATATATACATGTGAAGGGTTATTCAGGGATTCCTGACAGATATCAGTGTTACCATGTAACTTGCGTTTGGTTTGGAAATAGCAAAGTGCTACTTGTACTTATAGCCCTATAACTTTCCACAAAAGCTAAGAACATGTTAACATTGGGTATTTCTATACTCAGGACAAAATTTAAAAACTATTTAGCATGGGTGTTTTTTGGCGGTAGATGCGTAATAGATTTTGGGGGTCAAAGTTCGAAAAAGTGTTTTTTATCTTTTATAATTTTTTTAAAAGTAAATTATATGGTATGATAATAATAATGGTATCTGTAGAAAGACCATTTAATGGCGAGAAAAACGGTATATAATATGTGTGGGTACAGTAAATGAGTAAGAGAAAATTACAGCTAAACACAAACACAGCAGAAATGTAAAAACAGCCTCGGTCCTTAATGGTAAGAAAATTGAAAAGCAGTCTGGTCACTAATTTTCACAATACATCTGGCCTGTCATTGTAACCAAATTTAAGAGGCAATCAGCCCCATACCTTGTTCGATCTACACAAAACTCAATATATGGGTAACATTCTCCTTGTCGAGTCTCCTTGAAATTAACACGGCATTGTAAAAATATGTAGAAGACAAGAAAAAAAGTGTCCTTTGTATTACAAACACCACAATTCATCCAATGCTGGTCCATTTCTGTATCCTTTCTCAATAATCATGTCCCTTTTTCCTATTAGCTCTGTGCTGCATGTGACTCCGACCACGCTGCATGATTCTGACATCCTCCTTGTCATCTCCATGTCCAAGTTATGTCTGCATTTCTTCCCTTACTCTGACGTGTCCTAACACATGAGTACCATGTTACAATGACACAAGTGTAAGGGCCTTGTCAGGTTAAATTAAAAGGCTCTTCCCCCGTTTCCTTGTAAACTGGCATAGGTGTTACTTGGGGCGAGGGGGTGAGGGAGGCTTTGGTGACCCCAGATGTGGACCAAATGATGTTAATTTTAGTTTATTTTTTATTTTATTTTTTAAACACTTTATTTTTGCATTGACAGAAGAGAAAAGTGCATTAGCATATGTCATGGCTTTCGCAGAAGCCTGTTCCATACTTATAGCAGTTATTACATTTTGCGTGTTTTACATGCTTCTTATCGTAGCTTTCAGAAATGACAGTAATCGGGGGGCGTGGCCTGACCGCGATGCAGAGCGGACGCTCGTGAGCTGAGCTCCCGCTAGACCGAGGCCCTAAAGCAGACAAAAGCAAAACACCCGAGCACCACCTACCCCGGGACCACACCGGCGGCTGCGGCATGGATAAAAGGACCCCGCGGAAACCTCATAAGCGGCCATCGGAGCCGGGCACTACAGTGGCAGACCTCTTCACCGCTTCCCGCGCAAATCAGCCTGCAAGGCAAGATGGCGGCCACCTCAGTCCCAGGACCTCCCCAGCACGCGAGCACCCGGAGCCCCCCATGGGACAAGTTATACCAGCTGAGGAGACCTCTCAGATCCTGGCACAGCTGCTGGAAGTAAAGGCTTACCTGGCAGGGGAGATCAGCAGGTCCACGGCAGAGGTGAAAGCCGAGATCGCGGCGCTTGGACACCGCACGGCAGCCCTGGAACACAGGCAAGAGGCAACAGTCCTGGCACACAATGAGGTAACAGGCAGGGTGAATAACCTCACAGCCAGGTTAATAGCAGCAGAGGCGGCCTTAGAAGATTTGGCAAATCGTTCCCGCCGAAACAACATCAGGCTGCGAGGCCTGCCAGTACAAGAGGGGGAGGGGGACCTGACAGACACAGTCATGGCGATCCTAAAACCCCTAGCACCAAATATTCCAGCCCAACTATGGCATCTGGACCGGATTCACAGGGCCCTGGGAACCAGGAAGGTAGATGCCAAACAGCCGAGAGATATAATTATGCGCTTCCAGCATTTCCAAACAAAAGAAACCATAATGAAGAATAGCAGAGACGGCCCTATCAAGTATAAAGGCAGCACTCTGCTACTGTTCCAGGACCTAGCCCCAACGACACTCCAGAGACGCAGAGAATGGCGACCGATCACCGACATCCTCAGGACCCACAACATAAAATATGCCTGGGGCCATCCCTTTAAGCTTATGGCGTTCAAGAATGGCAGACCAAAGATCCTGCCACCTGATGGGGACGCAGCAGCTTTTCTCCAGGCGCTGGACCTCCAGGCGCCGCCAGACTTGCAATGGCGCGCGGCGACTCCGACAGACTTGCAATCGCTACCGAGAGAATGGCATACAGCGGGGGAACGAAGACACACACCGTAGCACGGACGCACACCAGGCACCCGCACCCGGACCGCCTCGCCCAGATGGACATCCCCAGGGACATGAGGGGGTGAGATGACAAAGGGACATGAGGGGGGGGTGAGGACTTGCCCCCACCCCAAGGTTTTGGTACCACAAACGCTCACAACCAAAGCCCACTATGGGGGGTTTCTACCCTCTTGGACGCACAAAAAAAATAAAAATAAAAATAAAAAAAGAAAAGAAAAGAAAAGGCAAAGTTTCCTATATTCTTGATA